ACCTGAACGCTCACATCCTTTTAATTATGTTTGAAATTATGAACATTGCTCAACATCATGAAAATTAAACCTTATTTTCAATAAGCAATCCTGAAAAATATTTGGGGGTGCTTAACTTTTTTCCAGGTGTATATATGTTTAAAAACAAATTTTCCCCCTCTTTCTATATTATACAAATAATGTAACACTGAGATATCAACTAAAAGTATAAAAAGTTAAAGGCGATTAAAGCTAGTTACTCTATAGAGAAAAACAAACAGTGTACACAGTAGAAAGTATAGGTATGTAACGGTAAAATGAACATAAAATTATAAAAGAATTTGGGCACATTTACATTAACAAATGTGAAAGAAATATATTAATATGTAGCAAGTTCTACTGGACTGGTTGTATGTAACGGTAAAATGAACATAAAATTATAAAAGAATTTGGGCACATTTACATTAACAAATGTGAAAGAAATATATTAATATGTAGCAAGTTCTACTGGACTGGTTGTATGTAACGGTAAAAATGAACATAAAATTATGAAAGAATTTGGGCACATTTACAATAACAAATATGAAAGAAATATAATAATATGTAGCAAGTTCTACTGGACTGGTTGTATGTAACGGTAAAATGAACATAAAATTATGAAAGAATTTGGGCACATTTACAATAACAAATATGAAAGAAATATATTAATATGTAGCAAGTTCTGCTGGACTGGTAGCAATATATAAAAACATTTCTTATTTACCAAGACAAAACATTTTCAATACTCATTTTACAACAGCTTACCCAGGACTACCCATTGTAAACAGAAAAGTAAATGAGTTATTCATACTTCCTTCAAAATAAAATAATTTTATTAAACAATAGAGAAAAAAAAATGCTTAAAAAACCGATAGTTAATTCTTATTATTTCAAATAATACAAAACATTAATTATCAATGTCCCAAAATTTAACTTTAGCTGAACAAGAATTATTCATATGGATATATAAAAATTCATAAAATTGTTGGACATTTTTCTTTATGTACAATTAGAGGTTTTTTTCACAGATAAACGTTACTGAGGAAACCACACATTATGAGTATATGCACTCCTCACCACCCTTATATCGAATTCATTTCATAAAATTTCCAGTAGGTGAAATCCTCATTCACAAAACTCAAACACATCAGTATAGTAACATGAGCTTTAACAATTTAGAACAATAGCTAATAAACTGAGTTGAGTATTAACTAAAAAGTACAGTAATTTTCAACCATTTGTGCAAAAATTATAAAAATGTCAACATGATATTCATAAGTACCAAATCATTTTAGTTAAAACTTTTCTTGTTAAATTTCATACAATGGTATTTTAACACGTGTACTTATGGAGGATACTGATAAATGCAAATTACTTAA